ACACACACACACACACACACACACACACACACACACACACACACACACACACACACACACACACACCTGTCCTCTGTCGCTGCCCTTCCTGTGTGCACAGCAGCACACGGAGGAGAACAGACACACAGATGGACCGACTCCCTCACTTCTTCACCTCCCAGCGAGAGAACAGACGAGAGAGGGAAACACAGGAGCACGCCACCCAAAGACGGGAAGAAGTAAGTAAAAAGTAAAGGAAGTAAATACGAGCAGGACAAAAAAACTCTGTTTGCTGGTTCAGGTAAAGCTGAAGCCTGAAGACTAAACTTCACTGAAGCACAAATCAGAGCTCCAACCAGAACATTCTGTTAATGATAATGAAACACACCTACTGTGTAACGTCTGGGGTAGGAWAACCATGAAACCTTGACGGAGAAATTATTTACAGCTCTTCATTTCACATTCTTTCAAGGTGAACGGTCCATTACTTCCAGAATAYTGTGTATTTGAGTATCATGTATCACTAAACTGTCTTTTTGGGTGCGCTGTGCGGTTTTTGGAAAGCAGCCACGGTTTCTGTCAGGCAGCTTGATTAAGACAGAAGAAAGAGACCCCTGGATGACCCTACACCCAGAATCACGCCTACTTTGGCACCTCTCGTCTTCTCTCATCTGCTCTGTCCTTTTCTTTCATTTCCTTCCCTTTAATCCTCTCTTGACCTCCTCCTCCCCTTAGAGCCAGCTGGAAGCGGTCCAGTCATGACCAACTGGTCCATTACTGCTAACCGACTTCAATTATGACTCGGTGTAAAAGCTATATCCGTTACTGCACCGCCGGACCTGCTAACTGTTTCACTGGAGAGCGACGTCAGGACTTTATTTATTGACCTCAAATAAAATGAGTGGATAAATGTTTAGCTGTGTTTCTTCGTTAGTGATTTCTTTTAAGTTTCTCCCGGTTATGTTACGGTTTAATAAYGATGAGAAACATTTTACCTGGAGTCATGGAAGGAACCAGGAGCACCACYGCAGCAGGGAACGTTAGCATGACGGTCAGGTTAATGCAATGGACCAGAAATCCAACAAGTTCACTAAATGAACCCTGATAAAAAAATGAAAAGAACATTATTTTTGTTTTAATGACAAATAAAAAACTGACAGCTTCTCCCATTTTCAACCACCCCACCAGACAAACAGTCTGATCAACGAGCACTAAACATGAACATGTCAAACATTTGTCTGATTGTCAACAGATCACATTTGCAGAAACTGCAGTTAAGTTYGTCAGAGCTCAAAATGTTCCGTGCTTTCTTGCCAAACAGACTGAATACGCCCTGAATACAGATGGCGAAAATCATTTTTTTACACGTTGCCATTTAACATGGGCAGATGCAACAGGGGAGGCTCTGCTGCTCAGTCAGTTTTAGAAAAATAATCCCTGGTGAGGATTGAAGTGAGCTCTGACTTACACACTTTTAGTTAAAAAAATGATTAGAAATAAAACACAACTAGAGAAYTCTCTGTGAAAATGCAGCATGMATGCTTAATGGTGAAAGGTTTTGCAGGGAAAAAAATGTACAAAAACCTCCAATTCCAAAAAAGCTGAAATTAGCAGAAAAGTAGCTWAAAAAGGTACCTAAAAAAACTGAATCAAGCACAAAAAAGCAGGAACAGGCTATTTGCTGAATTAAGCAGTAAAAAGTTGAAATGGTCGCAAAAAGGTGAATTTAGCTGAAAAAAGCTAAAAATCAGCTTTTAAAGCTAAAAAGTAGAAATTGCAAAAACCAGCTGAAAGAAGCACAAAAAGCTTAAAATAGCTAAAAGAAGCTGATAGAATTAAAAATGTTTAAATCACAAAGTGCAAAAAAGGTTTATAAACATTTTAAAGGGTTTTATGGATGTTGAATGGAGCTCAATTAATTTTCAATCAGAAAAAATGTATGAAATAGGCTAAATATAACAAAAAGCATAAATTGCTGAAATACCAAAAGTCACAGCAGGAATGATAAGATCCAATCTGACATCTTCTGTTTCAAATATCTATCTTCATGCCATTATACTCTCAACCATGTCGTACTGTTTACC